ACTATATCCACATCTCAGTCAAACCTATTTTTCTGTGCCCATGAGACATGTGCATCAGGTTGGAGCGAGGCTTGTGCCCTTTATACAAATGAAACACACCACTTATATGATGTATGCCAATATCTCTTGACACTTCTTTCCATGACTATTTGAAGGTCCTATCTCTGCTTATCTCTAGCGTATTCTTGTTTCCAAAATGCAAGCGTTGTCCGTGCATTACACATAAGATTGATAAGTGTTGGAAGCTGCATGTGAAACCCTCTCATTTACTTCATAATGCTTAGGCATCTATTGTCGAGTCAGCTATTGCTCCAAAATACCAGCTGATCAGCCTCGTATAACACTTTGACAACATATGAAGCCTCGGACCAATTTGTTAGGTACCTATGTTTGGAACCTAACAAGAACACACTTAGAAGATAGAAAGAACAATGAAAGAATGAGTTTCTGTATTGAAATTGAGAACGATGTACACTGATAGCGCTAATGGAGGCCTAATCCCCCTCTTAGCCCTAACGAAGGCTTAATCCCCCTTCTGGCCAAAGTCCAGATTTACAAAATAATACTCAATGATGCCCCTGACAACATAACCGGGTGTTGTTTATACAATTTCTCCACCTTCTATCCTAAACCTATTACCCATTATATCCTCTTATCCTATATCCTAACAGAGACTTTCCAATGTACTACTAAACTTCCTTGATAGCATACATTGGTAATTCTTCTGCTTGTCTATCTGATTCTCCTTTCCTTGGTCCTTGGGTCATTGACTGTGGTGTAATTCACCATATATTTGATAATCATTCTCTTTTCTCTTTCTTTACTTTCTAATACTACTACTATTGATAATTTGCCTTCTACCACTTTGCCAATGGTTCAAAAACAAAAGCTTGTGGCATTGACACTATGTAGCCCCTCCCATTTCTTATTGTTGACTCTATCTTTTATGCCTTTTCCTGTCCATTTAATCTACTTTCTGTAATCTGATTGATCCAATACAATGACACTATCTCCACCTTTACTAAAAATAATATTACTTTGTATGATCAAATATCACGAAGGATGATTGACGTCAGATGTGAGTCCCATGGCCTGTACTATATCTTTCTATCATTGTCAGTATTTGCATATGTGATCTCTTCAATGATGATTGATGCACATGTAGGATGTCCTGGGTTGACAAATTTGCAAAAGATGGTGTCATGTTTAAATCATTTTTCTAGTTTGGATTGTGAGTTGATTTAATTAGGAAGACATATTTGTCATTATTTTTCTAATAGTCTCAATAAATGAGCTTCATCACCTTTTCTAGTTAACTCTAATATTACTGGTCCTTCTCGTTTTGCGACTTCTACTTCTAAATATTTTGTTACCTTATTAACGAGTATTCTATATGTACTTGGATTTGGTTAATCAAAAATTGACCATAACTGATACGATATAAGGTAACAGATGTTGTTAGGGGTTGGAAGGTATACGAGAGAAGAAGAAAGTATATGAGAGAAGAAGGGCACCGAACGGTGGAAGGCGGGGAGAGGTCGAGCCGAGCGGTGGAAGGCGGTGAGGGAGAAGAAGAAGGGCACCAAACGGTGGAAGGCGGGGAGAGGTCAAGCCAAATGGTGGAAGGCGATGAGGAGAAGAAGAAGGGCATCGAACGGGGGAAGGCAGGGAGAGGTCAAGCCGAACGATGGAAGGCAGTGAGGAATCAAGAAGTGAACCCACTGGCTACTGCCCTCCAATTCAGATCTGGAGGCTTGGGTGGTGGCAATTCCTCCTCCAATAACTTCCCTTCTTCTTGGATTCTATTAGCTTCCAGCATTCTGGTCACCTTTTTTCCAGAATCGCAGGCCTTGAGAGAATGGTCTTCGATGTCTTCCGTTGCTTTAAGCCGCTCTCTCCCCTCTGTTAGTGTATTAAAAACTACAAGTCCCCTTTTCTATTCGCTGGCCCACCTCCTCACAAAATCCATTCTTCTCTCCCGGGCATTGATTCTTCCATCCACTCTTCCCTCCGAAGCCTTCATTCCTTCTTCCATCACGCTTCTCTCCCACTGATTCATCCCTCCTAGACCGATTGGTTCCTGTCGTCCTCTTCCGTTCGGGTCCGGCAGTCCTCTCCCGTGCGGATCCGACATTCCTCTCATGTTCGCTTCCCGACATCCTCTCCCGTTCGGTTCTAGCAGTCCTCGACCGTTCGGTTCCTGCACTCATCTCGGGTTCATAGCCTGTAGTCCTAGCCCGTTCGATTCCGGTCGTCCTGTCACGTTCAGCTCGGGCAGTCCTCTCTCGTTTGGTTCTGGCAGTCCTCTACCGTTCGGTTCCTGTAGTCCTCTCCGGTTCACATCCTATAGTGCTAGCCCGTTCGGTTCCGGCCATCCTCTTACGTTCGGCTCGGGCAGTCCTCTCCCGTTAGGTTCTGCCCGTCCTTTCAAATTCGGATCCAGTAGTCCTTGACCGTTCGGTTCCGACAGTTCCCTCATGTTCGGTTCCGGTTGTCCTCTCACGTTCGGATCCAACAGTCCTCCGTCGTTCAGTTCCTGCAGTCCTCTCAGGTTCGCCTCCTGTAGTCTTAGCCCGTTCGGTTCTAGCAATTCTCTCACGTTCGATGCTGGGACGTATTCTTCCGCGATTCCCGACTGCTTACTGGCCGCCACCCTTTCAAAGATGGTACCCCCGTTTTGTTCTCCAAATCGCACCACCACTGCCCCCTTCAGACCTTCCCAAGAACGATTCTTGGCTTTCTCCTTCCAGGCTCTGAACCAGTAGCCAGCGCTCCCCTCCATACCGATGTCAGCTAGGCGCACCTTACCCTCCTCTGCCACACCTTGCAACTCGAAGAACTTCTCTGCCTTAGAGACCCACCCCAACGGATCAAACCCTTCGAAAGTGGGTAGTTCTACCCTTTTTCCCCAATTAGGTTGGGCGTCTCTTCGGTCTTCCTCCTTCGAGCATTCCCTTCTCCTTCTTTGATTCTCGTTAACAGAATGTTGATCTTCATCTACAGATCCTGGACTACCTTCTAATCCCTTTTTCCTGGTTCCACACCCTTCCTCCAAGAACTCACAAGAATTCTCTAGTTTCCTGCCGCATTTCTTGTATATTTCTTCTCCATTCTGCTAGCTCCCTTTTCTGTTCGTTGATCCTCCTTTCCCAAGAATTGTCTCTTCCTTCCATGCTTCCCCCCTTTCTTGATCACTTGATCCGTTCTTGACCCCTTCTTGATCCGGCACCCCTCTCCTAAGGATATCCGATAGCTTCTTGATCCGGCAGCCCTCTCCTAAGGATAATTGCAAGTTCTCCCGGTTATACGGCAGCGCTCTGGATGATCTGACCGCCTCTCGAAACGGCAGGTCGGATCAATTTGTTAGGTACCTGGGTTGGAAACCTAACTATGAACACTAACAGTAGGTAGAAACAGTAAAGAAAGAACGGGTTCTTGTTAGAACTGGACTTTAAGCCTTCAACCCCACAAACCCGTTTGCACCCACTTATAAACTATGAATTGGCCTTGTCTCTTGTCGATGTGGGACTTCCAACACACCCCCCTCATGCTGAGGTATATACATCTCGAGCGTGGGATTAGACATTTTTAATGGGTGGTCCGATAGCGGCCCGATAGCGGGTGGATCAATATGCCCAGCAAACAACAAATATCGCTAGGATAGGCTCTAACCATGGCTCTGATACCATGTTAGACGTGGACTTTAAGCCTAACTCAACCCCCCACAAAATCGGCTTGTAGGGTGAGGTTTGCTGTTAGGAGTTGGATAGTTTATGAGAGAAGAAAGAAAAGAGAGTAGGCAGTTAGGAAAAGGCGGGAAGTATGGGTATAAAAGAAATAACGCATTATATTGTGGGGGCCAGAGAAAATGATATAATTTGTATAGACCGGTTTCAGGACCTGGTGAGAGGGGTTAGGCCCTCGTCTTACATGTGTTCTCTTTATTCGTTACAGTGAATAATATACCCATTATTTGATTCTTTCTGTTGTGTGAGAGTGCGTATGTTAGGACATGGAGGGTTTATGAAAGGAGAAAGATAGTAGAGAAATAAAGATGAGTACTTAACTGTTGAGCAGTTAAGGGGGCGGGAAAAGGTCTATAAAAGGACCTCTTTTGTAGTTACGGGTAGACAGTTTTTACCTTTGAGTTTGTAGACCGGTTCGGACCTGGTGAAGGAGGTTAAGCTCCTGGTTTTCCCAGTTGTATTCTTGATTCTTTGATGTGAATACAGTTCAATTCATTACCATTTCTTGTTGTGAGTTTTACTGGAGTGTGCGAGTGAGGTAGAAAGTTAGGATTCTTACCCAGATTTCTAACAGATCAGTGAGTGAGGTAGACGGTTAGGAAATTATTCTCGGATTCCTAACATTTGCACTCACTTATAAACTATGAATTGGCCTTATCTCTAGTCGATGTGGGACTTCCAACAGTTCTATTATTAACAACGATAGAAATCTCTTTACAAAGAATGGTTGGGAGCATAACCTCCCTCTTCTAGTAAAAGTCTAGAGTTTACAAAAGAATACTCAATGCCCTCTATAGAGTTACAAGAGCTCTATTTATAGCAGCTCTGACCCGCTCCCTATTTACAACTGATACCCTCACACCCTTAACCGCTCAGTCCATAACCCAATCTATCCTAACATCCTATATCCTAACAGAAATGGTTAAGAAAAGTGATATGCCAACCATTAGATGTAGCCAGAACAAAGGATTAAATATGTATTTGGTCCTTAGAAAAGCAGAAAATTTCAATTTTGGTCGCTGATGATTCATTTCTTCATTTGATTCTTATACCATGTAATGTTCACAACTGCACCTTGTCATTAATGAAGCTTTACGAAGTCATAAAGCGTTCACAGGAAGTTGTGTGATATGAACTTTTTCTAAAACTGTTACTTGTCTGTATATCATAATATCTGAATATTAAGAGAATAATTTTTGATATTTTTGTTCAAGTCACCACAGTAAATAAGGATGGGGATGTTTGTCCTTGCAGGTTGAGGCAGAGCTTACTGAGCTACCTATTGAAGAACGACAAGAATATTTGCAATCTCTTGGTGTTAGTGAAAGTGGTCTTGGAAACTTAATCAGGGCAACTTATGACCTTTTGGGTCTGAGAACTTATTTTACTTCTGGTGAAAAGGTTAGGGAAAACTGGAAATGTTTTAGAGAGAATACATTTTAAAATATCTTGTTAAACATGTATGTCGTGGCAAGGTAATTTACTATAATAATTATTAATTATTTCATGTTCAAAACTGATTTTGTTTTCTACTGAGTACACAGGAGACAAAAGCGTGGACAATACTTGCAGGTTGGATTTTTCCCTGGATGAGACTTTTACATTGCACAATACTATAACATTGACTATATTTGACTATAAACAGGCTTTTAAATATAGTTTGCTTTTGCTCTTTAACTGCTGATAAATGAATACGTTCACCTTTCTTTTAAAAGATTGATTGCCCATTTTTTCTATGGAATAACTAACCTGATCGATTAACCAAGTTGAATTAATTATATTTGTTTAAAAGATTGATTGTCCATTTTTCTTTGGAATAGGTAACTGACCGGTTAACCAATTGAAATAATAATATTATAAGAATTGTACTTAGGTTGGATCACTCCACTAATATTAAGGCTCTTGTTGTACTAGGAATGACTGCACCTCAAGCTGCTGGAGTTATTCACTCTGACTTTGAGAAAGGTTTCATTCGAGCAGAGACAGTAAGCATCTATAACTTTGAACTCCTATCTGTAATATATATTAGCATATGACTTTGCATAGAAGATATTGTAAAAATTAAATGCAGAAAGAAACAGGTGATGATTGCTATTCTATTTTCCGGATAATGTGGGGGCCATATATCTGAGAAACTTTGATGCAATAATTGATGGTTTTTTCTCCAAAGTTTATGTTAATATGTGAAAAATATGTCATAACACTCCAGTATAGACAAAAAAGAAAGCTAGTTCTGACTCAATTTGGGCAACTGAATCAAGTGAGACCCTAAAATATTATATATTTTTATTAGTTATACTATTGTGTTTATTTCAAACAGGCTGAAGTTTGCTTAATGTATTCATTGATCTTGATCAAAGACGTTGTTTTAAATTAGGTGTCTTATGATGATTTTGTTGCTGCTGGTTCACTTGCTGCAGCACGAGAGAAAGGAGTTGTAAGTGGCTTATATCATTTTACTCCCAATAAACCATGTTTTATTTCATGTTCATGTATATTATTTTAGCATATGTAAACCAAGAAGCACCTCTGTAGAGTAGTGTCAACAAGTCCAACATTTTTTGGACATGGCACTCCATCCACACATGTCTGACACTCCAACCATGTCACAACTAAAAATTTATTTATTTTTCAATTGAGAAACATCTTGGACAGTTCCTGGTCGTGGTTTGAGTATGGACAAAAAGAGTGAACGGACACCTATTCTTAGTTAAACATTTTCTAGACACTACTATCATGAAAGAGTAAAAAGAAATTAAAAAAAAAAAAAACAACTGATGTTATAAATATTACAAGACTCAACAATTTTTTGTAAAGTTTGTATCCTTAAGGCTTAACTAGTTATTTCAACTATTAAGAGATATGTTTCTGATAATTCTATTGTGAGGGCCATTATTATATGGAAACAGTAAAACATGGCAGATTTATTTTATACATCGTGAATACATCTTTATACATATGATGTTAGAACTACTGTTCTAAGATTTATTTTATACATTATAAATACATTGTGAATACATCTAAGTTTACTTGTGAATAGTGGAATGATATTAGGCTAAGGAAGGGAGCAGAGCATGTATTCTTATATAATCTGTATAAGCTGAAACGAGATGTTGTCTATTGCCTCTCATGTAATTCATGAAATTAGTTCCCTCTATTATGTTGTTTGCAGTTGAGATCTGAAGGAAAAGACTATGTTGTACAAGAAGGAGATGTCATGTTGTTTCGGTTCAATGTTTAGCAGAATTTACTACTGTACCAGACAGTGGAGAAGTTGAGATGTATTTTTGACCAAGGTCAGAATTTTTATTTTCAGCCAATCAGTGATCATAGATAAGCATTGTTTGTTTATAGTGTCAATTGATAAATGCTCCCCTTCTAGGAGAAAGTGAGGAAATTGAGATACAATTTATGACTACAGGTCAGAAAATTTTGGCAAAATTGATGGCTAGAAGTCAATATTTTTGGCAGCCAATTTCTTGTTAAAATTTTAAGAGATATTGTTTTGTTGTACTGATTTTTTTTTTTTTTAATTTTTTCATAGCATACAATAATGTTCTTGAATATTTATAATATAATAATAAGGGTTAAAAGTCTCTCACCCTTTACATGCATTTTTTTTTTAATCATAGCATTCGGCTTCATTAAGTAAAGCACAAATTATAGTAGAGTTGGCATTAGTGACTTATGCAGATTTCACAGGTTTAAGAAAGTTACTAAAATTTGTCAGAAAAAAAGTGCTGGACTATGATAAAGAAAAATGACTGCTGGGTGTAAGATAAATGATACAGGAATACAGAAACACTGGCAAATTTTTCTGACAAGGCTCAAGTAGGATATTGGTAATACTGACTGAATAACCCATTTTCATTACATAAAAATTACTGTATCCAATTTAGTTCCTGAAGAAAAATAGGTCAACAAATCGTCCATCAAGATTACGAATTGTGGAACATTTTAATCCTTCATCCATTTCAATTAATAATACTTTCAAGGACCAACTTAAGCCGCCACTTACTTTTAGAGTCTAATGCTAAATTTGTTTAAGATTTTAGATTTAAAGTTTAGGACTGAGGGTTTATAACGGATTTATCATTTTAAAATTTAGGATTTAAAGTTTATAACGGATTTACCTAGTTTCTAAGATTTTTTTTTCCTTTAGGAATCAAATTGGGTCAAGTAACTAATTTTTAGGGTTCATTGATTATTTTTTTTTTCATGCACTCCATAATTTCCAACTTTACCTCCATAATTTTCAAAATAATTATTGTGTTTTTTTAAAAGTGACTTTCGGATTACTTGTTCTGAAATTTAGAATAAGTTTTTCAAGATTTCTGAAAGATGATTTTTAGAACAAAATTTCTGGAATAGAATTTTTAAAATTAGATTTTTGGACCATATTAAATGTATTTAAGCATAAGCTTTTTGGAACATAATTTCTGGAAAAAGTTTTCTAAAACATACATAATATTCTGCATAATAAGGTTTTTGGAAGGAGCTTTTTGAAACGAGCTTATCAGAATATGCTTTTTGAAATAAATATATATATAATGTATTCCCGAACGATCTTTTCATAGAATGAACTCTTTTCTTCTTCCTCTATAGTGGAGAACAGAGGTGTGACATAGATGACACATTCTTTTTCTCTTGCAATTAGTAATAATGGGGGTGCAGAAAGAAAAAGTTCTGTTCGTTTTGGTTAGCATTACCAAATGTGTTTCAATTTATTCTGAATAAAAAATCCCAGGTATCATGAATGCTTGAAGAAAACCCTAGAATAATCAAAATTAAAGATCATCAAAGTTTAAACATTGATAAGTATATTCTTGTGAGGTAAGGAAACAATTATATTTGAGCTTGATCATCATAAGTGATTGTTACCAATGATTGGACAACACCCATCCACCAGCTAATCTTGCTTAGGCATGTAATATATAATTTAAAATCTATTTCAGCTTAGCTTCTAAGTCATATGTATTTTTTAATTAAGCAAAGAAGGAAAAAAAATGAAGGTATATGAAGCATAATATGGCACTCAACCATGTAACATAATATGGCACTAACACTCTCAATTGAAAGAAGTTTCCTTTATTCTTAAAATCTTTGTTTGGTAAAGAATAAATGAGATGGAAAAGAAGATATAAATGATTTTTTCTTTCAGGAAAATGTAAAAAGAGCAAAACAAATAGTTAAAAAGCTTTTAAGGTTTATTTATTATTATTTACTTTTTTTATCTTTTCGTTTCTCATTTTATTTTGCTTTTTACTTTTCTTAAACTAAAAACTCATGAATAGTTCTGAAATTTAGTGAACAAAAAAAATAAAATAAAAGATTAAATTATAACGGAATTATGTACTTTAATCCTTTAAGTTTAAAGAGTCTTATCTTAAATATAAGTTACATAATTGTGATGTTTATAGTTTTATCCTTTAAGTAAAAAGAGTCTTATCTTAAATCTAAGTTACATAATTGTGATGTTTATACTTTTGTCCTTAGGTAAAAAGAGTCTTATCTTAAATCTAAGTTACATATTTTATTTCAGCAATAAATATTTGATTCAATAATCAATCTTATATTTAAGATTAGGAATTAATTATTTTACAATTTTAAGTTACTTATATATATACACCCGTAAAATCTTTTTTTAATATTAATTTTATGTTCATAATTTAAGTTTTGTACTTTGTCTCCAAAATAAAATGCTCAAATTTTAGTATTATTGTTCAAATAATATGTTATAATTTTATCATTATTTTTCATTATGGATAAAATACAATTTCATATGAATGTTTGTTCTTTATTATTGTACAAACTATATATAATTTTATCATTATTGTTGTTTGTATGAAGGAGTTTGTCACATTATTTGATTGATGTATTCTATATATAGAGTAAAATGTGATAAAATATTAAATCCTTACAGTAACTCAATCTTGATTTTCTGAATATAAATAATAAATAAAACATAATTTTATCACATTTATTAAAGACTGAAATTTTTTCTAAAAACTATTTTAAATAAAAAAGATATTAACAAAATTTTCTCAACATTATTCATTGTCTTGATATTTATTTGTTTAAATTTCAAATTTGATTTTGCGGTTGATTTTCTTATTTTTTTTACTTGTTATTCTTGTCTTGTTCTTTTTCCTATGAAATCATATCTTTATTCATGACTTTTTTTATCAATGTATTTTTTTTTTCTATCAATATTTTTTTTTATCAATTGCATAATTTATGGAAGTAACATTAGACTTTTGATGAGTGTTAGGATGTGATTATTTATCTATTTTCTCCTCTTAAACATCAAGCTTCTTCCATAGATATTCATCTTCTTTTAATACTGATCTTTTTTTTTATATATTTTTTTCATTTGTAACCAACTCCTCTTTTATCAAAATCCAAAGCGAAGCTTTTATCTTCATGTGAACTTTGAATATTTATAGGTTTACATCTTTAATCACAAAATGTTTGTTTTCAAAAAAACACTTTATAACCTTTCTCTTAAAAGTTGAAGCAATACTTAAAATTTTTTGATTAATCTCATGAATCTATAAGACATAAAAAATTAATTTGACACCTGAATGAATTGTAATTACAACTATTTTTATATCTTTCACAACAAGTTGTTTTCCATTCTCAATTCTTACTTAAGAAATGTCAAATTCATTGAAAACTTTGAAAAATTCTCGATCACGAGTTATGTGGTTTGTACAATCATTACCTATTAGGTCAACCTTTTATAGATTTGTTGGTTGTAACACATGATGTTGCAAGAAGTAGTTCATCTTTTGATTCGTCCTGTACAAAATGACATCTTCTTGGGGATGTTGAGATTTAAATATCTTTTCTACATGTCTCAATTGACTACATTTGTGATACTTTGCATTTGGTCCCTACCAACACTTGATGTGTTAGTGATTATTTTTCTTACAATAGGGATAAGATGAAAAATTTTGTGTGTTGTTGGTTTGATTGCATTTTCTCCTTTTTCAATTCTTGACTTTGAAAGCACTATGTAAGAAGTAAAGTGTCTGCATGATTTTCTCTCATTAATCTTCATTGCTCTTGTGCTTGCGAGACATGTATCACTTTTCTTAGAGTAATTATAAGTAGATCTTTTATGTTTTTTCAACAAAACAATATATACTTTGTATTTCTCTAACACTTACTAGAATTTTCTCAATGAATCTAGAATTTGCAAACTCCTTACTCAGTAATTTTGTCTTGTTACCAATACCCAACAATTTGTTTGAGTATTACTTAATTGTTTTAGACTTTTTCATTCTTTGCAACTCAAAAAATCACTTATAAAATTTAGCATTTTCATGCCTTGAATATTCTTTCGTATTCTTCTTTTAAATAATCTCAAATTTCTTTGGTGACTATTATCTTGGTGAGGATCATTTGTAAATCATGACTTTCTCTTCTTTGTATTTTTTTCCTCTTTTGCATTTTGATTTTGGTCATGGTGGTATTTTCAGGAAAAATAATGTTTTCTTATCTTCCATATATCATAACTTTCACCATCAAATAACATAATAGTGACTTATGAAAAATTTCATTCTCATTCCATTTTATAGGTCTAGTAAGAACAATCATTCTTAATACCATTGTTGGATTTTCAAGATTTTTGAAAATATCATAAATATAATAAATTATAAATATATGTTATAAGGAAGAACTTGTCATTCTATTTCATTGATGTACTCTGTATCTAAAGCAACATGTGATAGAATATAAAATATTTTCAATATCTCTCCATTTTGATTTCCTAAATTTAAATAATAAATAAATGTATATTTATCTTTAAATAAATATATTATTTTTAAAAAAAATTCTAAAAACTAATTAAACAAATATCGTCAATCGTCAACATATATCAGAAAGTTGAAGTGATGATAAAATAAAAAGACAAATCCAATCCAACTTGGTATGACACCTTTGTGTAAAGATAAACAAACTTGTGACACTAATAATCTATTACCAGTATCATTGTATGCCATCAAAGAGAAAGCCATGCGTACGTAAAATCAAAGGTATTTCTGTGTGTCTTCATGCTTAAACATCAGATTATGTTTCCATGTTTTATGTCAACATTAATAAGGATAATTATCTATCATTATAACAACTTTACATGAACAATTACGGCTTTTTTCTTTATAAGATTAAGAAAAGCGGTGACATAATTTAGGTATCTTGTATTAATGGTGGCTAAAAGTGTCTTTTTATTTTCTATAGTTATTGAGAAGAGGGGTGGAAGTAGGCAAAGTTTAGAAGGTTTGCATCTAACTTTCCTTAAAAAAAATCTAAATGTCGTAACTTTTTTAATGTATGACCTAGCCTATATGATGTTTGATCAATTTGTTTTATTATATATTCAAAAGATTACTTAACTTATAATATTATCAGAATAAAAAAAGTTCATGTTAATATATGTATATATATATATATATATATATATATATATATATATTCAATAAATTATTTTATTATATGTTTAAACATATATAAATTAG